TTATTGCTGTGTAAAGAGTAGCAAAAACAATAAATTCTCTGTACAACAATTTGTAGATGCTGCCTTTCCACTTTAGGAGTAATCTGTGAAATCCAAAGAAAGTGGCATTTGCTACTTTGCTGGAATAAGTGACTGTCATCGTCTTGGCAGGCTGTGCCTAGAAACAGTAGAAGAGAAGCAGGAAACCAACAACATTTTAGACAGCATATCCTAACCTGAATGCACCCTTGTATAGATAGATACATACATATATACATGCACATATACACATAACTTATTATGTATACATAAATACATGCTGTGTGTTTATACATATATATATATAAAAATAGAAAAATCTTGCAGTTACAAGCCCCATTGAGACCTGCAGATTGATTGATGCAAGGCTGTAGCTGGGCTTTACCTCAAAGACCACCCAAAAGCAACAGCTCGTGGCTGCCTGCCTGGGTGGCAGCAGCAGGGACACGTTACACCTCTGAAGTCCCTGCTTATTCCCAGTTTGTTCCAGTCCAGTGCGAGCAAAGAAAAGGAAGTAAATTTACTTGAAAGTTTTTTCAAAACTTTGTCAGCACTTCAGCAGCAGAAGTAAAGCCAGATTTCACAAACACACCTTCCTCCCCTGCTAGTATTTTTAGCTGGCTTTGGTAATTATACTCATCTGAAACCAAATGAGATTTGGAGACTGCCTCTTTCATTAACAGTTACGACAGCAGCTGGGATCAGCCGGGGAACCCTGTTATTTCTCGACTTGGCAGCTAGACACACTCATCAATACTTCAGCATTGCATGGCCATGCAAAAAAGCCACAGGGTTGCTCAGGTAGGCAGTGTGCAACACAGTGTAATTAAAGCAGTACTAAAAGTATACAGGTAAATATTTTAGGCTGGGTTTGTTACTTGCTTACCCAATGTAGGGAGATGCTACAGGAACTTTTATGTGCTTACAAAAAACCCCTAACTTCAAATGTGGATGAAAGTAGTTTTAGACAGCAAGCATGAAAGGGAGTAACTAAGACAAGCACAAAGCCTCAGGGTAGTAATTGTGTACTACAAATGTGATTCTTGCCTATGTTTTGTTGATGCCAGTGTAGGTCATTTACTCTCAGAAAAAAAATTGGGACCCATGATTAATAAATGGCTTGATAGTATTTTATGTAACTTGGTGGTGTGTCTAATGCAGAGCGTAAAAATTCATCTGTAAAAGTGCCATTTTTTCTTTTAGTCACCAAGGGAATCAGCAGGGAAAAGACACCATAAGCCTTCTATTGCTGACAGACTCTCTCTTTTTGTCCGCAGAATGGCTGCTTGAGGTTTGCCAGCATGGGCTCGGAGATTTTTTTTTTGGTGTTATTGTTTTTTTTAAGATGCATGGTTTTTATTCTTTAGCATCCAAATTATAGTTTTCCTGTTTCTGAGATTTGGCATGGCCTTTGAATTTTTTGTTGTCCTTGTTGAACTCCAAAAAGTTCAATTCAGGAGCCAAACTGGCTGACTAGCATGCAGAAATGCAGTCCTGTCTGCTAAAAAGTCTGTGGTCAGGATGCAATGCTTAAGAAAATGGAAGCAGATATCTCCATTCTCCAGCAAATATGGGGCTTTATAAACAATGGGAGAAGCCTGTGGCTGGGCTATAGGGGAGGAATGGGGTAGAAAAATACTCCTAACAATACACTGAGTTTCCTGGGATCATTTTAAAAGGCTTTAGTCCTTGCCTGTTAATGCTAGGGAGTATGTGTGTTCAAGCCATCAAGAAGTGTCTCTCTGTTTCCTCATTAAAATCCAATCTGCAATGGAAACCTCCAGTGGGACTGCCTGTGTGTAGGGATTTTGATGTAGAAAAGTTATCTGTAATGTGAGGATGTACAGCCCGGAGGTAACCCAGACCCCCAGCATAACACAGTGCAACAATTAGGTGAAGGTAGACAAATGCAGCCTGAAGTAAAATGTAAATTGCTAACTGTGGGGGCAAACAAGTATTGGAACAGGGGACTGGATAGACACTCTGTGGTTTAGAATATTTAAGATGAGAGTAGGTAGTCTGACAAAATATGACCGTCAGGAAGAATTCACATAGCTGGGACATACTGGGTTGGGGTTGAGTGGCTCTGCTGGTCTCCCCTGGTATCTGGGCACCTGTGAAACTTTATGTTCAGTCCCCTCTGTCCTGGGCCACGGAGGGAACCAGATTGCCTGCAGCACTCTCAGGGCATCTGCAGCTCTGTACAAAGGTGGTGATAAGTGTCAAACCCATGGCTCTAAGTTTCTGCATATGGGGCTCAGGAAGGAGTCGTCCTCCCAGGCATCAGTGACTAGATAGTGTCAGAAACTGGCCAGTAGCTGAGCTGGATGAAATGGGTCCACCTTCTCTATGAAGCTGCAGCAAATTCTGTCTTGCAAGACCTAGTGGATGGGGTTTGGCCATAGCTGCAGAGCTGTAATGATAACAGGATTCAGGGTTAAGAATATTTCCCCCCACAGTAGACTGGGAGAAGAGAGTTTTCTCCATGAGGTGCAATTTGCATGCTTGATTCAAGCAACTTACACTTAATCAGGTTACAGCCATCTCTCTTAGCACTTTACTTTGATGCCCTTGGCTCTGTAAAGATACTCTTCATGTTAGCTTAGGAGGCACTGTATGCCCCCAGCTTTGTCTTTCTGCCTCTCAGATGAGGCAAATAAAAGCGGAACTGTTACAGCAATTTCAGGCTTCAGTGCCTTGGTTTCCTTGCCTTGCCTTGCCTCTGATGCACTGTGTTTTAGCTTCCTGCTAAGCAAATGCTTTACTGAACATTTGTCATTGGGTTCATATAGGGACTTCAGGGTAATATAATGTAATGTCCTAAAATATACATTAGGTCAGATTAGGTGACCTAAGAACCCTTTAAACTATATGAAGCCATGAAAGACAGATATATGTCTGTCTGAGTAGAATTCACAATATAGCAAGCACAGATTTAAATCTTCACCTGAATTTTTTTTTTCTCTGGGAACAGCTACAACCACTCGCGTACAGCCCCCCAACAATGGAAAGCTTTGGGATAAAGCCTTGTGCTGGGTCTGGTTCTTGCACGGTGGTCCCAAGCCCTTGGTTCATGGGCAGCATGTTGACTGAGAGTCCTTCCAACATTACTTATGGTCACAGGAAATTAAAAAGCTAAAACTGAGATGGACAGGAAGAGCAAAGCATAATGATGCCCCCCAGCACATTCCTGCCTGAGCACTGTTTTGGCTGGGGCAGCAGCAGGACAGCACGTGTTAGATTATATACCACAGGCACTGGTGCCATGAAAGACTTTCCTATTAATTGTGTTGCCCTTAGCTTCCTCAGCAGATACAGGGCAAGGTTTTCTGCTGGTATGGATTTGCGAGTTTTGAGGACACAACACAGGTTATGCTCATTTTATGCCTGCAGAAACTTTGGCTCGTATCTATGGTGCTGCTGCTTTTCCTTTTGTTCAGTGTTTGTTCCCTCTCTGAAACTTTCTCAAGCACAGGCTGAAATGTGAGTTATGTATTACTCCACTTTTGCTAAGATCATCAGAAGCCTTTTGGCATAAACACCTAAAAATAAAAAGATTTTTTTTTCTTCCCTTACTAATATTGACACAAACTGTAAAAGTGATTTTTGCCTGGCTGAGAATTTCAGGATGCATTAGGATTCCGACAGAAACCGCAGTAAAAAATAACAGCCATCAGTGTATCTTATCTGACCATGAAAGGCAATTACAGAATGTATAAATAAATAGTGCCTCTGCTCAGACATATCTCTTGTCATTGTATCACCTTATTTCTTGGTTTATGGCATAGTAGAGAAAGTGAGTCAGAGAGATTTGAGTTAAGCCAACTATAAAAGCATATTAAGCTCACGCTGTATCCACTGACCTGCTATTTTGATTCGGCAATCCAAGCCCAAAGGCAAATCCTGGACCCTTCCTCTTTCTCAGATGTCCCAAAGTCCCCTTCAGGTCTGCAATAGTCACCTTGCTCTTCCTTTAATCTGAAGCAAGGGGTTGCTGCTGCTGAGCCCCAGGAGGAGTGGACTGACAAGAACAGGGGTTAAAATGTCTTTCCACTTCTGGAAGTCTGTTTTTGCCAAGTACTCTGTCTGTCAGTTACAGAGGGAACAAACGCAAGCAGCAGCAGCTGCTGATCTTGCTCTTTTCTAGTCTATAATTATAACGCCACTTGCCATCAGAAGGACCCCTTTCATTTGAATGAAGAATCTTGTGATGGTTTAGCTGGCACCTCCAGTTTTATACATTTTATTTCCCATCCCCAAAATGGGATGGACAAGAAGGCAACATTTTTCTCTGAGACTTCTCTTGAAAAGAGTGATCTCTTTGAGCCAGCCCTGTGAATATGCATCAATGAATAGTACTGACTACGTCTAAATGGGAAGACTGGAGACAAAAACTTGGGACTGTGCACCAACTGCACCTCGATGCCACCCTGGAGCACACCTTTGCTTGCATTGCTGATTTGAATTGGGAAATTCTACAGTGGGAAAACACTGTAGAAATCACCCATCCCTCCAAACAGGCAGAGTTGCTGTTATCAAATGTCCCATCAGGCTCAGTGAACCTATTCATGACAGTACGTTTCAGCATGTGAAAGCCTTTCTGCCACTCGAGGATCTGCACAGGATTTCTTTCCCCCTTTCCCTTTGTAAAATGAGATTAACTCTGTCTTTTACAACCCATGGCATTAAGAGGGAGCTGTAAAAGGTGATAGACTGTGAAAGCCCAAGAGATGTTGTATGACATTGCCATAAATCTCTACAGAGAATCAAATAATGCGACTGTGAAGTAAATAAAAAAAATTGCAGGGGGAGAGAGTAAGCAAGATTTATAGATTTAATACATTTTATGATGAAAGGTTCCCCCCCCCGCCTTAGTCCCATTAAGCTATTTGAGATGACTTATTTAATTAAAATTCTCTCAGAAAGAAAATAAGTTGCTGCCATTGTTTGCTTTTCTTCTCATTAGCAATGGCAGAAGGAAGACACTTTGATGTCAAAGCAGGCGAGACATTAGACTGTGGCATGTGTGTGTCAGGCAGTGGCCTGTGGCGAAAGATGACAAATCATTTTAGCATTCAGTGACTTGGCATGAAGAAACATTCTGCCTGATCCTATTACAGT